ACAGAATCACGTACGCATACACGCGCGCCGAAGCTTACAAGTATACACACACACACACACACACTCACTCACACACACTGTATCAGCACAAGATACCACGCACCCTTTGGTTGCATCCAGTCGATGAGGAGAAAGTCTTGATCAAAGACCCAGCGCTGACTGTCCGTGGCAGAATAAGACAAGATGCGGTTCTTGGGGATGTGCAGCAGCTGTTGGGTGTGCGCATTGGGACATGGTGATGCCATGAGGAACATGGGTTGGTGCAAGCGTTGGCGTGAGCAGCCACTGCTTCATGTACGTTCATATGTGCACGAAGGACATCTCAAGGAGAGGCTGAACGAACCTCAAGGGACTGTGCAACGTGTGCGGTGTGCGTGTCCGGCACAAGAATCTTCACGTCGTCAAAGCTAGGCTTGTCCAAAACAAGTTCTTGAATGTACACCAAACGCACCATGCCCTGCGAAAAGGAAAAATTGAAAAGATAGGTGGTTGTGGTTGGAAGCAACAGAGATCAGGTACATGTCAACAAGACAGGGAGAGGTGCCACGTTCAAGCGAACGGTTGCAAGCATACACAGTTCGGCCACATATGTATTAGAAAGTCACATTCACGTGCAAGCACACCATAACATACACTTACACACATAGTCACACATAACAAACACATTCCCTGGGCGCACCTCAAGCATCCAGTGGTAGTAGTTGCGCATGTTCTTGAGTGGAAGGGTTGAAGCCACGCGGTGCTTGATGTGCTTGGTTTGAATGTACCTGCACACACATGAACAAAATGAGCAGGACAACGCGACACGACGGTTGTGAACGGAGGAGTTGAAACCAAAGAGGCCGAGGTTGCAAGACAGTGCCAATTCGATCAACGAAACGAAGCACATGACACCCGTGAAAACACACAAATAAATGACCGTGCGCAGCAATCAATGCAGTGACCAATGTACGGACAGACAGGCTAACATACACACAAACACACGTGCACGCACACACACACACACACCACACAAACGTGCGCAGCAAGCAATGCAGTGAACAATGTACCGACAGACAGACACACATGCATCACATGCTCACACACACACACACGTGCACACGCAAACGCAATATCACACACACACACACCACACTTGAGGACTCACTGTGCGTCGGAGACGGCCTGGGTAAACTCTGCATTCCAGAGCTGTGCAGCGGTGTGGAAGACACACGGCGTGGAGAGCTGCGCCCCACTCTTCCACAGGACAGCCTTGGAGATGGCGAGGAAGTAGATGGACCTCTCCAGGTACGATGTGTAGTACGGCTTGAGTTCGTTGCGGGCGCTGCCCACGAGATGTGCCTCCTCTGATGACGAATACTTGCTGCCGGCGGTGTCTCGGTTCAGGAGCGTCTGATGTAGCAGCACAATACCGTTGAGGGAGAAGTGTGTGCGTGTGTGTTTGAGAGAGTGTGTGTGGGCGTGTGTGTTTGAGAGAGTGTGTGAGTGTGTTGAAATATGAAAGCGAGTAAACAGACAAGAGGGCCAGAACGCGGGAAGCAACAATCACGCACTCACGTGCAGCTTGTTCACCCTGCATGCATATCAGCAAATCCGTTGCCACACTCACGCACTTCAACCACACACAACATGCGCGAACCTTCTTGACATGCTTCTTCCCCTTTGTCCAGTCCATATCCATGGACCAGCGTCCCTTCTGGCACGTCTCATCAGACACGTCCACTGTCGACGCAAACTGCAGGGTGCGCGTATTGGCGGAGAGTGATATGTGGGTGAGAATGACAAAGCAAAGCAGGGGGGGGGGGACAGTTGCGTGCGGAGGGATGGTTGCGGATATGAATGCGTGTGGATGTGATTGTAAAACCTGAATGCACTGCGGAATGAGAGGTGACAGGGCGTGTTTGAGCAAAGTTGTGCACGTGTCAATGTGAGTGTGCGCGGGCAGGGTGACCCGGTGCTCACTACCTCGACAAGCGACGTGGTGAGCAGACGAACCGACTCTTCATCGTAAGGAAGAAGAATGCTATCAACACACACACACACATAGACGCATATGCACATGCACACGAGCGTATTGCGGTTGTTGCGGAGGTTATGTGGTCGAATCTTGAGTGAGTAATCACGAAACACAAACAACACAAACAACACAAACACCACAAACAACACAAACAACACAAACACCACAAACAACACAAATACCACAAACAACACGAACAAAGCAAACGAGCAGTGCAGAGACGGAACAACGCAAGGCATTGCGTGTGATGCACCTTCGCACGCCACCGGCTGTGGAGGAGATGCCTGGGAGATGGCCGTATCGCGTGAGAAGCGTTTCCACGGCGTCAACGGCGCCAGACACAATCCCACCACGAAGATTCGCAAGTGCAATGTTCGTCTGCATGTGTGTGAATGTGTGTTTGAATGTGTGTTTGAATGTATGTTTGAATGTGTGAATGTGCGCGTGTTTGAATGTACGTGTGTGTGTGTATGTGTGCGTGTGTGCGTGTTTGAATGTGTGTGGGTGTGTCTGCCTGTGTGTGTGTGTGTGTGTGTGGATGGCATGGGGCAAGTGAAAGGAATGAAGGAGAACGGGTAGGACGGGAGACGCCTCAGCATTGACACGCATGATGGCGAGTGCGCACCAGCACTTGAACGTGTGAGGCCTCGTCGTTGCGTGCAATCTTTTCCGCTCGCATGAGGATGGGGATGGCCTGACAGGTAGGTTTGGTTGGTGAGATGGTGAGACATAATGCACCCGTGCCATCCAACACGCAACACAAGGTTTCGAAGCACATGCCTTTGAAACACACACGCACACATACACTCACACGCACGCACACACACGCACACGCACACACGCACACATACACACACGCACGCACACACACACACACACGCACACGCACACACACGCACACATACACAGACAAAACGCCTTGAAGACCTCATGGAAGCGCATGAGTAGAACGTAAATGTTGCCGAGCATGCTGGTTGCCTCGAGCTCGTTGGGCCGAAGCCTGGAAGGATAGAATGGTACAGTCGTGGTGTTAAGGATTCGTGGGCAATGTGTCATGACACAACAGCGAGTATCAGCCACGAGAACGATGCACAACACAACACGCACGCAGACACACACACACACACATGCAGGGGACAACGTGCGGTGGCTTGTGCAATTTGTTGTACCTTTCTGCGTCTTTGCATGCCTCCAAGAACACGTCAGAGTCCATTTTGGGGCTCACAGCCAACTGTGTAGGTTTCATTCATGCATGAAGGTGTCATGAGTGTGAGCACAGAGTACACGTGGCTTGCAGAACGCCTTCTACACGGACGGCATATCGACAAGCAGTCACACTAACTCGTACGCAGGAGCAAGCACACCTTCGTGTTGAGCAGGTTGGCGCCAAAGCGGCAAGTGGAAATGGCCACTTCATAATCATCAGGGAAGTTGTTGCGCGCTTGCACAAAGAGCCGATAGGCCTTCAGCACCTGAGGCAGCAGCATTTGCGCGTGCGGACATGTGACCGAACATGAGCTACAAACATGACAATGAGCGACACAGTGGTGGACACAAAACAACCCCATTAAGCCAAGCACCATCACAGGTGGGTGTTCGCTTACGTTGCCCTTCTTCTCGTTGACGACAGCAAGGTTGACAAATGGTGCCGACACGTCCGGAAACAGTTGCGAGAGCTGCAAGCATTCGCGTGTGTGTGTGTGTGTGTGTGTGTGTGTGTGTGTGTGTGTGTGTGTGAGATCGATTCGTGGTTGGGTGTGGACAGATGATAGCGATTTTAAACAGCAGAAAAGGCGCCCAAGATTACCAACAGCAGCACAGTCAGCATCAATCAGCACCAACAGCACCAAGGATAGCAGGCAACACCTGTTCGAAGATGGCTTCAGCTTCGCCCAGGCGACCTTGTTGAAAGGCAAGCGCAGCCTGCGTTTCGTGTCATACGCAACCAGGTGGCATGTAACGCAGTCAAAAACTCAATGCGGTATGAACGTGCACACAAGGCTTTGTCACACACATATACACACGCACACACACAGCATTATCGAGACAAACAGGCTGCTCTGCTTACGCGCTTGTATTCCTCCGTGATGTCAGCGTGTGTCGTCGACACGCAGCAGCAGGCCACTGCCACCACTACAACTGCCGCCGCTGATGTGAGCCGCATGTTGTTGCTTTGCTTGCTTGTTGTTGCGGGTGAAGAATGTCGAAAAACTGAATTCAGTCGCAAACCTCGTACTGTGACGCTGCCTCTGCTTACTTGTCGCTCTTCTGTTTTCTTCACGTGTCAAGTTGTACGACATGCTCCTTAATTTCAAAGGTTCAATGCTTCCATGTGTTGTGTATGACACAAAAGCAAACAAGCAGGACAAGCAAGCACCAGCTCGGTCGGGGCGTGTGAATGGAAGAAGAGCAGCAAAAGTAAGGAGAACAAAGTGGAGGAGAATTAGTGAACAACGGAACAAACAGAACAAAAGAACTGAACAACTGAAGAACTGAAGAGTCCAGCACGAAGACACGAAGACATGAAGAAAGCAAGAAGAACAAGGCAAGCAAGATTGTTTTGATTCATTGAGCCGTTGCGTTACAAGCAGAGCGAGTGTGTGGTGAACAAGGAGGAGGGGGGAGGAAGAAGAAGACATGCAATGCTCTCTTGAGCCCTCATGACTGATGAAGTTGAGGGTAGCTTGAATTAGTTGAATGGTCAGATCAAGAGTTCAGAGCGTGAAAGCAATCAACATATCAACATCCTTCCAACTGCGTGTTTACTGTCGGCTGCACACACAATCAAGCCCAGATCTGGCGGACGCGGCGGTTGCGGCGGTCGACAAAGAGGACGTTGTCGGTGAGCGGGGAGAAGGTGATGCCCGTCGGGAAGTTGAGCGCCGTGTCTGTGGCCACCATGCCGTCACCGTTGTACCCGCGCTGGCCGTTACCAGCGGTGGTGGTGATGATGCCGGCCGCGCCAACGCCAATGTTGAACTCGCGGACGCGGTGGTTGCCGCTGTCTGCAATGGCAAGCGAGCCAGACGAGTGCACGGCCACGCCACGCGGGGTGTCGAGACGCGCGTCCGTGGGCAGGCCACCATCGCCGCTGAACCCAGCAACACCGGTGCCGGCCACCGTGGTGATGACCTGCGTGTACAGATCCACTGCGCGGACGCGGTGGTTGCCGCTGTCTGCAATGTACAGCATGTGGTCGTACACGGCAATGCCTGCAGGCATGTTGAGGCGCGCCCCAATCGCCAGCTGCCCGTCGCCCTCATCGCCAGCCACCCGCGGCGTGCCGGCGACAACGGAGATGATGGTGGTGTGCGGGTTCACCATGTACACGACGTGGTTCTCCTCGTCCGAGAACAGCAGGTTGCCTTCCTCTGTCCATGCCATGGCCTGTGGCGAATGGATCTGCGCAGCCGTCGCCACACCGCCCATCCCGCGGTGCCCGCCATCACCGGTGCCAGCAAACACCGACAGCTTCTTGCTCACCACATCGACAACAGACACGCGGTGGTTGCCTTCCTCCGTGATGTACACGTTGCCCTCCACATCGGCAATGGCGCAGCGGGGGCGGTTCAGCTGTGCGCTCGTGGCAGCGCCGCCAACACCGTCCGCGCCCATCTCGCCCGTGCCGGCAACCAGGGATGACGTGCGCGTGCGCAAGTCCACGCGGATGACGCGGTGGTCGGACACCATCGTCACCAGCATCTCGTGCTCGCCGTCAAAGGTGACGCAGTCCGGTTGGTTGAGACCCGTGTTGAGCAGGGTTGCTGACGAGTCCCACGTCGTGCCGCCGTTGCCAACAACCGTCTGGATGGCGCTGGCAATGGAAGGCGTTGCCGTCCCAACAGCAGACGGCTGGGTGCCCTTGGTCAGCGACTTGGACACAATCTGTGTGGACACGCCCGTGCCGGAGCCAAGGTCGCTCATGAGCTGGCACCGAAGCATGCCGTTGACGACGCTGGCGAAGATGCCGAGACAATCCGGGTCTGCATCGCAGTACCGCAGGCACTGCAGCATCGACTCGCCCTCCATGTTCACAATGGTGGCGCTGGTCTCAAATGCAGTTGAGAAGCGACGCGGGTTGCTGTTGCCCGTGATCGCGCCTGTGAACGTCTCTTCGTAGTTGTACTCGCTGAATGGGAAGTCGAGCGCGTTCTCGTCAGCATCAGGTTCTGTCAGCGCACCACCAGCTGGCGTCGTTGGCGCATCCACATCCACACACAGGCACACCTGGGACAAGGTGGTGGATCATGTGAGGAGCAGCGAGTGATGTGCACAGGGAATCAAAAAAAAAAAAAAACATCACAATGAGAGAATGGGTTGAGCAGGCACTGTAGTACGAGGAGTGCACACTTTCGCACGCGCACACTGTGCAAATGTAGGCATGCGATACACTGTACGAACGTAGGCAAATGATACACTGTGCAAATACAGATACTTGAAAAGCCACCACAAACACACACACACACACACAAAACGGTACACCGAGGCAAATAAACAGAGCCAACACAAGAAAGCAAAGACAATTGACCCACCTTTCGGCAGCCAAGGTGCATGTCGCGGAACGCAGCGGCCAGACCCTGGTCTGCACAGTGTGCACTGCACCGCTCCTCCGTCTTGGTGATCTTGAAGCGACGTCGGCACCCGCACGTGCACACCTGAACGAACAGGTCAGCAAAGTCACAAGAGTGGTGGTTGCACGTGTATGCAGTGTGCGCGTGTAAGCGTGTGTGTGCGTGCGTGTCAGATGCTGAGGATTTCACAGTGCACAGCGTGACTGAAACGACGGGACAGCAGTACCACAAACGACAGTGAAAGGTCATGCAATTACGGGTACCATGATCACACAAACACATCAATACAGATACACTTTGTGTACACACGTTGGAGCATTCGCCGTAAGACTTGCTGAAGGTTGCATCGCCTCTGTCGTAGTAGTCGCATTGTGAGCGGCACGTTGTTGGGTTGGGCGCAGTCTTGTACACGCTGCACACATCCAGCGTTGTTGGCTCGGCGGTCGTCGTTGTCACGCCTACAGCAGCCGAGAGTGTGTGTGCACGTGTGAGTGAGTGAGTGTGTGTACGTGTGTGAGCGAGTGAGTTGAGTGAGCGAGTCGTGTTTGTCAATCGAGCAATGACGCAAGAGCAGATGTGCACATAAGCGGTGCCACATGCACCCCCAAAGCTCACACAAGCACGCATGCACGCTTTGACTTACGTTCACACGTCTTGGCCTGGCCCGACCACTGTGGCTTGTCATTGACCACAACGCACTCGCGCTGGGAACTGCCGCTCTCTGAGAGCGTGTAGCCGCCGTTGCACTGCTCGTAGTCGCATTGATCGCCTGGCAGGTGGCAGTCATCGTGCAGTGCAGTGACGGTGAGCGAACATCGGCGTCATCATCAACACCGCCAGGCGTCGCATGATAAGATGCAAGCAAGGGATGTAACAACAACAGCTGCTGCTGTAGATGGAGAAAGAGAAGAA